CGACCCCCTCCCAACAGACACCCCGGCTTCCCCTCGCCCCCCAGCGGGCACTGCACACCTCCTGCCCCCCCTCCCCCCTGCCAGCGCGCCCCTTCCGCCCCAACCGTTTCTTGTTCGGCGCGCGCGGCGCTGGTCGCCCCCTTGTCCCAGCAGGGCCGAAAAGGCAATCAGCCAGAAACGACGAATCTTCGGAGGGGGAAAAAGCGGAGGGAAGGTAGGAAGGAGGGGCAGAGGAGCGGAGGGGGAGTCGTCGTCGTCGTCGTCGTCGTCGTCGTCGTCGTCGTCGTCGTCGTCGTCGTCGTCGTCGTCGTCGTCGTCGTCGTCGTCAGCTTTCCTCCTCGCCCCAACCAGCGCGCCCCCCCCGCCAAGACCATTTGATTTAGACACCCACGCGCGGTTCTGGCGCTGCCCCCCCCAGCCAGCCAGCCCAGCCCGGAGGCCGTTCTGGTATCCTCTGCCACCCCTCTTGCGAGCCTTTTGGGCCGTCATAATTAGGGACTCTTTGGGCCGTCGTGCTGTTGAGGGCAATGGTCCGAACGCGGTAAACATTGACGTTTCCGTCTCTCCTCCTCCCAGCCTCTTCCTTCTTCTCTTCCTCCTCCTCCTCCTCCTCCTCCTCCTCCTCCTCCTCCTCCTCCTCCTCCTCCTCCGTCTGCCCTCCTCCTCCTCCTCCTCCTCCTCCTCCTCCTCCTCCTCCTCCTCCTCCTCCTCCTCCCTTGATGTGCAAGAGCCATGGCACGCGCGCCACTTGTTTCAGTGAGCTGCGCCGCGCCACGCTGGACGTCTCGTACAAACACTCCAGCTTGCGCCGTATCCAGGTTTTCCCGGGGTCATTTTGAACCGTTTTGGGGGGTCGTGAGGCCGTTTTGGACCGCTCGTGGGCGTCTTCAGAATCTCTTGGGGTCGCCCTGGACACATACGGAGGCCCTGTGGGGCAGTCATGGAACCTTCTCTGAGCCATCGTGTGCTCGGGGACACTCCCAGGCGCTCTGGAGGCAAGATCGAAGCAAAAAGCTTGAGAAACGGAGCCGTACAAGTACCAAACTTGCTCAATTTGATTGATTGGATGGACCTTGTCTCTGGGCGTGTCAGAGGGGGCGTGCGGTCCCTTCGGATGGGTGTGGGGGAGTCGGACGTCTCGGAGGGCCCTTTTGGCCTTTGCGCGGCCATCCTGCGCTGTACTTCGGAGCAGTGCTGGTCATGTTGTGGGCCTTGATGGAATCTTGGGACAACCGTTGAGTCGGGCCTGTCCCCCTACAGGGGGACGACGACAAATAACAAGTATGCTAACGAAGTTCCCCACGTAAAGATATTAACGGTGTCGTGGGGCCCATGGCGTACGACAACATCAACACGAAGGAGAAGCTCATCGAACGAGTAAGTATGCACGAAAGGGCAGACGAAAGAAAGGAGGAGGGAGGACAGGTGCTCAGGAAACGAAGCCTTGTAAATAGCACGGTTTCTTGATACCCTCCTCGCTCTGGCGGGGCCCCGCTGGAAGGGGGGAGGGGCACGAAACCATGACATAGTATGGGTTTCCGATACCCTCCTCGCTCAGGCGGGGCCTCCCTGGAGGGGTGGGAGGGGCACGAAACCATGCAAATGGTATGGGTTTCCGATACCCTCCTCGCTCAGGCGGGGCCTCCCTGGAGAGGCGGGAAGGGCACGAAACCATGACATAGTATGGGTTTCCGATACCCTCCTCGCTCAGGCGGGGCCTCCCTGGAGGGGTGGGAGGGGCACGAAACCATGTAAACGGCAGGGATTTCCGATACCCTCCTCGCTCAGGCGGGGCCTCCCTGGAGGGGTGGCAGGGGCACGAAACCATGTAAATAGCATGGATTTCCGATACCCTCCTCGCTCAGGCGGGGCCTCCCTGGAGGGGTGGCAGGGGCACGAAACCATGTAAACAGCATGGGTTTCCGATACCCTCCTCGCTCAGGTGGGGCCTCCCCGAAGGGGAGGGAGGGGCACGAAACCATGTAAATAGTATGGGTTTCCGATACCCACCTCGCTCAGACGGGGCCTCCCTGGAGGGGTGGGAGGGGCACGAAACCATGTAAACAGCATGGGTTTCCGATACCCTCCTCGCTCAGGCGGGGCTTCCCTGGAGGGGTGGGGTGGGGGGCACGAAACCATGCAAATAGTATGGGTTTCCGATACCCTCCTCGCTCAGGCGGGGCCTCCCTGGAGAGGTGGGAAGGGCACGGAACCATGTAAATAGTATGGGTTTCCGATACCCTCCTCGCTCAGGCGGGGCCTCCCTGGAGGGTATGGTATGGTATGGTAGGTATGGTATGGTATGGAATGGTAGGCATGGTATGATATGGGAGGCTGGAATGGTAGGCGTGGAATTGATATGGGAGGCGCGAGGCGGGAGGGAGAAGGAGAGGATGTTCTGGGAAAACAAGAACCCCACTCAGGATGTCGGGAAATACCCAGAAAATTATTCCGGCGAAGGACCCAACCATGTGCAGCTGTGTGTAACGCAGGTGTGGGTATCGTCCTCGGTGAACCTCCCTCTGGGGCCACGACGCGTGTGACGGGGGTGCCAAAATTGGCACGGGTACGCCATGCGGACGCTGCCACCGGAACCATCGTTGCAGCCCCATTTGAGGCCACGAAACGTGTGAGGGGTGCGCGGAAATGCAGGGTGGAACCACGTGCGGGCGCTGCGACCAGGGCCTTTGGTGGCCGCGAAACGTGGAAACGGTGTGCCGAAATGGAGAGGGAACTGCATGCGGAACCTGCCACTGGGGCCCTGAGTGGAACACTCCATGGGGCCACGAAACGTGTGAGGGGTGCGCCGACATGGAGGGGGGACTGCATGCGGACCTGCCACGGGGGCCTTGGGTGGAGCACCCTATGGGGCCGCGGAACGTGCGAGAGGTGCGCGGAGATGGAAGTGGAACTGCATGCGGACCCTGCCACTGGGGCCTTCGGCGGAGCACCCTATAGGGCCACGAAACGTGTGGTTAGGGGTGCGAAGAAATGGAAGTGGAACTGCCTGCGGACCATGCCACTGGGGCCTTCCGCGGAGCACCCTATGGGGCCACGAAGCGTGTGAGGGGTGCGCGGCGGAAGACCCAATGGGGCCACGAAACGTGTGAGGGGTGCGCCGAAATGGAAGTGGAACTGCATGCGGACCCTGCCCCTGGGGCCTTCGGTGGAGCACCCCATGGGGTCACGAAACGTGTGAGGGGTGCGCAGAAATGGAGGTGGAACTGCATGCGGACCCTGCCACTGGGGCCTTCGGTGGAGCACCCTATGGGGCCACGAAACGTGTGAGGGGTGCGCCGAAATGGAGGTGGAACTGCATGCGGACCCTGCCACTGGGGCCTTCGGTGGAGCACCCAATGGGGCCACGAAACGTGTGAGGGGTGCGCCGAAATGGAGGTGGAACTGCATGCGGACCCTGCCATCGGCGGGCACCCTGAAACGTGTGAGGGGTGCGCCGAAATGTGGAACTGCCTGCGGACCCTGCCACGGCGGAGCACCCTATGGGGCCACGAAACGTGTGAGGGGTGCGCCGAAATGGAGGTGGAACTGCATGCGGACCCTGCCACTGGGGCCTTCGGTGGAGCACCTTATGGGACCACGAAACGTGTGAGGGGTGCGCCGAAATGGAGGTGGAACTGCATGCGGACCCTGCCGCTGGGGCCTTCGGTGGAGCTCCCTATGGAGCCACGAAGCGCTGTAATGGGTGGGTGAAACGCAGGGAGGAGGGAGGAGAGGGAGGAGGAGGGAGGAGGAGGGGGAGGAGGAGGAGAGGAGGAGGACGCGGGGCACCGTCTCTTCAAAACGAGGACCCAACACCACAGGATGGTTGGGAAATAAACCAAAAATAATCCAAAAATAGTCTGGGGACTATTTTTGAATATTGTTTTACCCTTTTGGAGCATTTTGGGTGTATTTTTCCCTTTCGCCGAACATCCCCCTGTAGGGGGACAGGCCCGACTTAAGACAACCCGGGAGCAGGCAGGGCGCCGAGGGACACACACTCCAGGGTGCGAGCTCTGACGCCGTCGGCTGCCCTCGCAGGCGAGACGCTGAAGTGAGAACCCGCCTTGGCTCCGGAGGGGCCTCAGCTCTCGGGCCGGTCCCGAGGTCTGCGCCGCGGCCAGGAGTGCCCCTCTCTTGGGGTTCGGGGGGGGCGCTGGTGATCCAAGGGCTCCCGCGGGGGCGCGAGGTGATTCGCGCGTCGCGGCCCTCGTTCCTTCTCCCCCTCCTCCTCCTCCTCCTTTCTCTCCCTCTTGGGGGGGCGGCGCGAGAGCGCGAAGTTCTTCGCGCGTCGCGCAGCGCGAGAGCGCGAGGTTGGGAGCCCTTGTGGAGCTGTGTCGGGGAATCTGCTCGTGGCCAAGGCTTGCCTGGGCCTGCGCCAGGGGCGCACCTTCGTTCTTTCTCTGCCGTTCCTTCTGGCACGTAGCGCGGTGGCTGCTGCAGACAGCAGAAGCGATACACGACGGGAAGGGGGCTCGAGACAGGGGAGGGGCGCCATGGCCTTGGCATCGCTCGGACGTGTGCATATTTCTTCGGCGAGAGCCATCGAGGACCATCCTGGGCCACCGAGCAAACAACAAACACGCACGAAACCCAACAGTGCACGGGAAGTGGACGTCCGAGACCATGCCGGGAAATGGGCGATGTGCAGAAGGCAGGGGGTGCGAGAGCGACCGCAGTCCAGCAGGTGCACTCACAGCCTGGCGCCGTTCTGGTGCCCCGTGCGTGGCATGTGCATGCGCAGTTCTGCCTCGCCGGCTCTCACGATACCATGCTTCAGCGGCAACGTAACGGGTACTCACTAACGGGTACTTTCTGGAAAATTGCCGAAAGTTGCCACTTTAGGCCTCTCTCTGGCATTGCAGCGTTGCCCACATCGCGGAGCATTGGGTTCGCCGGGTCATTGGACAAAGTACCCGTTGGTGGAGTCCCCGTTAGAAGGGCGCTGAATGTTTCGAGGAGATCGTTGTGTTTGCCTCGTTTGTTCTCTTGATCTCCAGGATCCCTTCGCCGAGCACGGCTGGCCGCACTCCGCGCACATGGAGCGGGGGATGGGGCGAGGTCGTGGGAGTCTTGGTTTGGGTGATGGTTTATGTATGCAGGTCGGGAGTCATCAGCGCAGGGCGACGAGTCACGTGTGGGCTGCCTCATAGTCCGTTTCTGGAACGCCCTGCGCTGCCTGGCTCATTGCCCCACCACGCATGATGTATTGCCGGTCCTGTTCGATAGTCTCGGCCGCCCACTTTCATTTCGGCAATCGGAGACTTAGCAGGCCGATGCCAATCACCTGCCCGCATTATTATCAACAATTACACCATTTGAGCACTGTGCTCCCCTCTCTCTCTCTCCCCTGATTGCGTGTGTGGGGGGGGTATTCCACCCCATCCGCGTATTGTTTTTATTTGTTCTCGATGGGTCATATGTCCTATGCGTTGTTGCTTTCCGATCGCTCTCGCTGTTTCATCTTCTTGCTCCCGCTGCAACGCGGGCCTCATTCTCGGATCGGTGCGTTGCTCCAGTCGTTCAGAGCGGCGCTCTCGCCCCAGAGCGGGCCATTTTTATGGATCCGAGTCCTGTCTCATCGCTGTCGCGCCTTCATTTCCCTTCCTCCGCCGTCCCCCTTGTCCTCCTGTTCCTCCCACTCCTTCTGCTCCCTTTCCTGCTGTCGCTGTTCGTCCTCGTCCTCCTCCGTCCTTTTCCTCCTGTTCATCCCGATGCTCACCCCCCACCCCGTCCTGGCTCAGAATGTCCATGAAAGTTGGGAAACGAGGCGGGCGAACTTGGAAACCCCGCGATGCCAAACCAGAAACCGGCAAGGGCAAACCAGGAAACACCCACCCGAACCCGAAACTGCTCAAATGTTCTAGAGCCCGGAGATCCCGAACCCAAGTCCAAACAAGTGACTGGCGACCCTAGAAATCCGGATGAGGCGCGACAGTTTGACATCGGAGGGAAAGGGGAGGGGAGGGAAGGGGGACGACGAGGAGGAGGACAAGGTGGAAGATATTTTCGTTGTCGCCATAGTTCGTCGTCGCCGGCACTCGTTGCCGACGTGGTCGTCGCTCTTCGTCGCCGTCTCTCGTCGTCGTCGTCATTCGTTGCCGCCGCTCCCCGTTGTTGTCGTCATCGTCGTCGACACTCGTTGTCGTCACTCGTCGAGTCTGGTCGTCGATTGTCGTCGTCGTGCGTTGCACAAGTTCGTTGATCTCGCCCGTCGTCGTTTTTCGTCCTCGTTCCCTGTCGGCGCGGTCGTCGCCCGGCGCTCGTCGTCGTCCCTCGTCGTCCTCGTCACGGCATCTGTCGTGGTTATCGTCGTCATGACTCGTCGTCGCCGTTGTCAACGTCACATTGTTGCCGTCGTCGGAACTATTGTTCGTCGGTCATCCCTCGTCGTCGTCATTCGACACTCGTCGTCGCTCTTGGTCGTCCTGGTTCTTCGTGGCTCCTCCGATCGGCAGCGTTCGTGGTTGTTGTCCGCGGCGTCGTTGCAGTCTCCCGTTGTCGTCTGCGTCGTCGCCAATGGACGCCGCAATCGCCCGTCATCTTCGTTACTCGTCGCCGCCGCGGTCGCGGTCGTGGCCACGTGGTGTCCTCATTCGTCGGCGTCGTGCTGTCGCTCGAGGGCGCCATCGCTGCCCGCCCTGTGATCCGCCCGTCGGGGACACTCGTCCGACCAGGCCCTTCGGGTCCGCTCTCCCGCTTGCCTGGACGGCCGCCCGCCCGCTCCAGCGCCCGACGTCTGCTGGGCTCGCCCGCCCCGCCCCGCCCGCTGCGGCCCGCCCGCCCGGCCCGTCGGGGTCGGACCGTTCGTTTGCCGAGGGGGCCCGCCCGCCCGCCCGCCTCCGCCTCGGCGGCGAGCCCCCGGGAGAAGCGAGAAGGAGGAGGCCCTCTCGGAAGGCTCGGAAGTCCCCAGGGCCTTCTCAGATGTTCCCTAAGCCTTCCCCGAAGACGCAGAAACAAAAACTGTTCGGAAGGCGCGAGAGCCTCTGAGCAGCCCCGCCGCCTTGGCGGGAGAAGGCCTCCTCCTTCTCACTTCCCCCGCTCGCTCGCCGCTGAAAGGAAGCCCGCCCGCCCGCCCGCTTCAGGGCGCTTGGCATCGCTCGGAACCTGTGCATCTTTTCAGCGAGAACCATGGAGAAACGTCTTGGATCATTTTTCGAGAAAATAACTAAGCGCACGAGACCGAAAAAGGCACGGGGAATGGACGTCCGAGCGATGGCAAGCTCGTTTGCGATGGTCGCCCGCCCGCCCGCTTCATTGTCTTGCCCGCCCGACCCGCCCGTTCAGGTCCGCCCGCTCGCGTTTCCCGAGTGTCGGCCCGCCTTCTCTCGTGCCCTGACCCCCACCCAGCAGCACGCTCGTCGGGGCCGGCCCGCCCGACCCGCCCGACAGAGTCCGCCACCCCATACGCTTGCGGAGGTCCGCCCGCTGGTGTTCGTGCAATCCCCCGTTCCGCTCTGAGGAGGAAGAGAGACCCATACCGCTACCCTTTCCCGTTTTCCCCTGTTTGGGCCTCCTGGGAGGCCCTCGTCGCCACCGCTGGATTCGCCTCGAAATCCTGGTCAGAACGCACCCTGGGTGAGGTCTGGGGAGCAGCGGCAGCGGTACCTTTCGGCCTCCCCATTCACAGTCGGCCCTGATCAGCAGGTCGACCCTGCCAAATCATGGGTGCCCTTGTGTCCTGCGTCTCGCCACCCATGCCTCCTAATTACCTTCTTGTGGCAGTGTGGCCCTCGGAAGGGTCTTGTGTCTTCTCGCGCGCCCTGTCTTATCAAGTCCAGCTCTTAGCTGCCTCGATGCGCCCGTTTTGATACGCAACATGTGCCGTGCTCAAAACGTCCGTGCCAATCCTTTGCGTCTTGGCTCCACGGATTGGACCACGGTTCGGCGCATGTATCGCGTCGGACCTACGTGTTCAGCCTACGTGTTGAGCTCCGTATCACTACGATACCTGTTGCGTGTTGCGTATCGGGGCAGCCAAGGTCCGGCTGTATGCCCCGCGCGCGCGGCCCTCCCGCTGCCCTCCGCCCGCCCGCTCGGGCGTCTGCCTGAACGCCCGCCCGTGCGCTCTGGTGTGCCGACCGCCCGGCCCGCCCCCCCTCCCCCCCCCCAAGCCGCCCGGCCCGCCCACCCCCCCTCCCCCAAGGTGCGGGCAATAGTTATATCCGCATCCAGTGCGTCTTGGAGTCTTGGGCTCTCTCCCCCAGAAACTGGAAACGCACTGGATATGGATAAAAATCTGGCCCCAAGAGGCCTGATTTTATCCATATCCAGTGCGCCTCGGCGTTGCGGCACCTCGTCCCGAAAAGTCCAAGACGCTCTGGATATGGATAGAAGTGCTGCCCGCACCAAGGGCCTGACCGTTCGACCCACGAGGCAGGGTGGAGGAGGAACGCGAGGCGGACTCGGATTCGGGTCTTGACGAGAAGGATGAGGGGCGCCAGGGGGCCGCTCATCTGGCCCATTCCCTTCCTCATGCCCCCCTCCTCTTGATTGTTGGTCCCCCCTTCTGTCCACCTCGTCGGCGTCTTTCGCGTCGTGCTGATGTTTCTCCACCAGCCCTCTCTCCCCTTACTGTTAGAGCTCTTCTGGCTGTTAGTGCCACCATGATTGTGCTGCCGCAGTGCCTCCACTTCTGCCCGTGATCCCGTTTTCTTCCTCACCTTTTCCCCGCCCCCCACCATTCCAGTATTCCCTATTCATCAGCCCTCTCCCCAACTTTCGGGGGCGGCAAAAGGGAGGTGATGACTAGGGGGTGGGGGGGGATATCATGGCGGGGGCCATGATATCTTCCCAGATCTCATGGCGCCTCTTCTTGTTTCATTGCGTCCCCTGCCCCCCCCCCTGGGCCGCACACGTGCCACCGGCCGTGAGTTGCGCCCCCCCCTTTTGGACGCCCCCTTCTTGGACGCCCCCGACACTTCTTCTCATGTCTCACAGTTCTGTCCCGCTCCACCCCGCTCTCCACCGCGTGCTATCTGCATTCGCCGTTGTGCATGATGGCCCCGCCAGTCCGCACGCTCTCCATCATCTCTTCTCCGGGCCGCTCCCCCCCTGCCGCTTCCCGTCCTCCCTCTCTTCGCCATGCTGCCCCGCTCCAGTCTGCTCCTCACCACTCCCAGTGCACCCCACTCGACGCTCTTCCTCGTTGCTCCCCACTCCAGTCTTCCGCTTCCCCCCGCACCCTGAACCAGAATTCACGATTCCACTCTTCTCTGTCTTGCCGGCCCCGCCCCCTTTCCCCAATAATCCGCCTCATCATTTTGCGCTTCAACCTTCCCACACCCACCTACTCCTCCGCCCTCATCCCCAATCCTCCCACGAATCCTCTTCACTCAGAGGAAGAATGCCGTAAAGCCTTGAAGCGGAGTTCGCGCAACATGTTTCCCACGGGTCAGGGTGATACAGCGAAGAGATGGTTACAATGGCACATTCTCATCACGCAGTATTCGTCGTTTTCGGTGGCGGGAGTGGGCGGCGTTCGTCGTTATCGAATGGCCTTCTGCCCATCCCGCCGCCGTGCCTGGGTTGCGGACATGCAGCCTATTGGATGTTCGTTGAGATCTCGTGGGGGGCCTTTGGGGGGCTTCTTGGAGGCAGTTTGGACGCCTCTTGGTGGCCGTGTGGGGGCCTCTTGGGACCTCCATTGGGCCTCAGGGCTGAGGACTGGGGCTCCAGGGATTTGGCAAAGGACCCGAGGATACTCCCACTCCGTGCCTAGTGGCGGAGAAGTTACCTGCATCTTTCTCTGCGTAGTCTCTTTCTGTCTTTCTTGATTTCTCTCTCTCTCTCTCTTTTTTCTCTTTCTCTCTTTCTCTCTCTCTCTCTCTCTCGTTCTATATTCATTCCACTCTGCCATATCGAGCTCCCTCGTTTGCCGTCTTGGGTCGCTCATCTGGAGATTTCTGGTGGGCGGGGGGTCGAAATTACTGTCTATCATGGTGTGTTTCTTAATTCGCATCGTGTTTTTCCTGGTCCGGCTCGAAGCACTATGTCGGTTCGCTTTTCCAAAATTTCGCGGTTCGCCGGTCGTCGTTCGCATTCCCTGGTCGAAGTTGGCCGTAGTTCGGCCGCAGCCTGATTTGGGCTGCAGGGGTGTCTTGGTTGTTCTATTCAATCGCTTCGCTCATTCCGCCAGCCCATATCGTAGCTTTGTTGGCAATTGCCTGAATGTTCACATGGACATGTTTGGAGCCTTGCGGGGCCTCTTAAGGGCATCTGTGGGGCCTCTTGGGGCGGGTCTTAGGGGGCCTCTTGGGGGCCTTCTGGCAGTCTCGGAGGCTATCTGCCAGGGAAGAGCCCGACGTGTGAATTCGGAGTCCCCCTCCTAGGAGCCTCATGGGGGCCTCTGTGGCCCTCTTGGGCGGCCTCCTTCGCCATGTTGGGGGCCGCTTGAATTGTTTTGGGGCCGTCCTGGGAGCGTCTGGGGATGCCTTGGGACGATCTTGGGGTCGACTTGGGCCGTGTGGGGCTGTCGGAAGACTGAAGAGGCGGCGACGCCAAACATGTTCGAAAGCCTAAGCCGCAAGTGCGGTGTTTGGCGTCCGGGAGCTCCCTTGGGGCCGTCTTGGGTTAGTTCGAGGCTGGCGTGAATCTTCTTGGGACTGTCTCCGGGCCATCTCGGGGCCTGCCAGTCATGGATGCCGACGGGAGTGCTCTGTCGGAGCTTCCTTGGGGTTTCTTGGTGCGCTTCTGGAGCGCCCTGTCGGGTTCCTGAAGGTCTGATCGCGCCCAGGAGCTCCACCATCCGTAGCGGGGACCGCCCAGGGACCGCTCGGGGTACTCTTCGCCGGGGGAACCCCAGAGGCCGCCACGCGTACGCAAATTAAAGTAGCCTGAACCTCCTGCCTCGAGATGTTGGACCCGCTGGTCCAGCGAATTAAGCAGGATTGTATGATCTGGACGGTGCTGATACGGTCGGTGCTGGCGAAATGTTTCATGGACGCGGGCGATGAGATTTCAAGGTCATTTGGGGCACGAGCACGGTGCGGGAGCAGCGCGCATGTAAACAAAAGAATGGGAGCGGCGAGCTGTTGCTGAAAAACGCATGCTCCGTACATTTTGCTTTGGACGGGGGCGGTTCGCGACCAAGAAATGAGCCTCCATACCTCTCCCGCGAGCTCTTCGCGCCAGATCCGAGAGTTTGCGGTGGGACGCCAAGAGCACACCACCACCACCAGTCCTGGCCAGGTCCAACCCTGGGCCCTGGGCCGGTGTTTCGAGCTCCAGGCTTGGACATTGCTCATTCCTAATTATTCGAAGGTTCTTTGATTCTTCTGGGGGTCAAGATCCTTTCGTTTCTAATTGTTCTATCCTGGGCCTCTTCCTGGCCACTAGAAACGAGCACAATTAGAAACGAGCGCGATTAGAAATGAACGACGTGTCGGCATAGGACGGCCTGTACACCAGTCCGGGGCCCCGCATGGGCCTGGCCAAGGCTGGTGGCGACGTCTTGGCCTCAGGAGTACTGCCGCGGCCGACGGCCCCGGCAGTGTCCCAGGAAAACCCCCGGTGCCCTGCTCGACTGCATGCTCAAGTTTGTCGTCTCTTGCTTCTCCTCCCCGTCTCCTCTTCCTGCTGCTCCTCCTGTTCGTCCTCCTCGCTTCTCCCGTCTCCATCTCTCCTAAGTTCCACGGTGTGCCTGGACCATCCGCGGGGTTCCCAGGGCCAGCGCCAGCGATACCGCAGTCCCACTCGCAGGGGACACCGGGAGGTGGTCGAGGACAAGGGCGGCGTGGAGACGGTCAAGTGCAGCCTGTGCTACAAGGAGACTCCAAGAATCGAGTGGTTCTCCCTATTCACTTCTCTTCATGGGGCGGGCGGGGGCCCAATCTACTTCCAACGCCTTCCTACTTCCTGTGTTTACCTAGTTCTTCCAACCGTCGGGTGTTCATACAACCTCTTCTTCCCCGTTGCTCCCCTTCATTTCCCCCTTCGTCCCACCCTGCGACCCTCCTCTCGTGCATTCCCTCCCCCGCTCCTCTTCCTGTCCCCCTCCCCCACTCCCCTTCCCCCTTTGTTTGCCCCGTTGGCTCATTTCCTCTCCTTGCCCTCCGCGTTTGTTTTGCGCTTCTCCACCGACCCGTCCCGCGGCCAGTGTGTCGCGCATAGTGTGCATGGTCGAACATGCACTTGCGTAGCCTGGTGTGTCTGGGGCTTGCAATACACTCCTTGGTGGTCAGACGTAAGCGTTGTGATGTTTGCCCATTTGTCATCGCTGGCGCTCCTGGATACGAGACTAACGCAGTCGGATTGTGGAATATGGTCGCGCAAAGCCGACAATGTTGAAACAATGTGGTTCTCCACACCGCTTCGCGGTACCGCGTCTGGACAGGCTTTAGTTGCACGGGGCAGGCAACGGTATTTCTGTTTTCGCAGGCTAGGGCGAGGCCGCACGAGGAGGGGGAGGAGGAGGAGGAGAAGAAGGAGGAAGATGAGGAGGAGGCGGAGGAGGTCGAGGAAAACGAGGAGGACGAGGAAAAGGAGGGAGGAAGAGGAGGAGGAGAAGGAGGAGGACAAGGAGGAGGACGAGGAGGGAGGAGGAGGAGGAGGAGGAGGACAAGGAGGAGGACGAGGAGGGGGAGGAGGACGAGGAAAACAAGGAGGACGAGGAGAAAGAGGGAAGAGGAGGAGGAGGAGGAGGAGGACGACGACGACAAGGAGGAGGAGGTGGAGGAGGAGGAGGAGGACAAGGAGGACAAGGAGGAGAAGGAGCAGGAAGAGGATGAGGAGGACGAGGAGGAGAAGGAGCAGAAGGAGGAGGAGCAGGAGGAGGAGGAGGAGGACGACGAGGGCACTTGAGGCCGTCATTGGCGGTCGTGGGGCCTCCTGGGGGCATGCTTGGGGCAACCCACGAAGCCTGCGGCGAACCACCGACGCCCCTTGCGTTTTGGAAACGCCTACGTGGCCAAACGTTGAACCGAAGTCTTCGGAAGTTACTCCAGATTTCGTAATAAAGGGAGGGGGGTCTCATTTCGGGGGGGGTCTCGTCTCTTCCAGGCTATCTTGGAGGGCCTGGGGGGTCTGGGGACGATGTTTTGGAGGGTTCTCCCACGGGGGAGGGTCTGAAATGGCTTGTCTTGGAGGGTCCAGACCCCCTTGCTTTTTGGAAACGCCTACCTGGCCAAACGTTGAGCCGAAGTCTTCGGAAGCTATTTCAGCGGGCGAAGAACGGTATAACATAAACTTTTTCGCCGTCGGGGGCACTTGCCCCAGGGCGGCTGGAAAGTTTATACCCCTACGGTGCCACCGTAAGGGTATAAACTTTCCAGCCGCCCTGGGGCAGGTGTCCCCGACGGCGAAAAAGTTTATGTTATACCGTTCTTCGCCTGTTAACTATTGGTCTACGTGTTCCATCCGCCGTCGTGGAAACCACTGAGGGTTTCTTGGGAGCCTGCTGGCGGTCTCGAGGGTCTTCTTGGGGCGGAGGGTTCGACATGTCAGCTTGAGTTCCTCCTCTTGGGCCCCTCTTGGGGCTCTCTGGGGTGCCCTCTTGGGCCGTCTTGGGGCCCCTTTGGCCATCTTGAGGCGGTACGGAGGGCCTCTTGGACTGTTTTGCACGCTGTTGAGCCGAACAAGGCGAAGGTGATGAAGAGGCACCCTTTCCAAAGGGAAGGGGGAGATGCTTGCCTCTTGGTGGCCTCTCAGGGGGTATCGGAGCCTTCTTGGGGCGTCTTGCGAGCCCCTCGCGCAGTCTTGGGGTCCTCCCGGGCCGTGTTCGGGGCCCTCTCTGGGGCCGTGCACCAGGGGCCCTCCTGGACCGCCGCCTCGGGCCCTCGTGGTCCGTCGGGGCCGCAAATTATAATCCGCCCAAGCCGTTTCACAAGCTCCAGCCATCCTGGGGGAAAAATCGAAGGGCGTTGCAATCAGCCAGAGGCCAGGGGCGAAGGTGAACGGAATGATTTTCGGGGGCGGCCCAGAGGGGGGTGATGACTAGGGGGGGTGAGTATCATGGCGGGGGCCATGATACCTCCCTAGATTTCCTGGCGCCTCTTCTTGTTTCACTTCGGCCCCGGCCTCCCCCCGGGCCGCGCACGTGCCGCCGGCCATGATTTGCGCCCCCCCCTCCCCCTCTTGAACGCCCCCCCATGCCGTATGCTTCCCCGCACCTCACCAGGGCGCGGTCTTGCCGCGGCGCCCCCGCTGCTCGGCACCGCGCGGACGCCCCGCGGCGGCGCCGTGAGATCTCCGTCAGCGGCACCAGCCCCTCATGCCACAGCCTCACCCCGCCGAGGGCCTTTATGCCGTCCAGGCGCCGCTCACCCTGCGCGGGGTCCTTACGACCGTCTTCGTTCCGCTCGTGGCACTTGCGTGCGCCGTGTTGACGGGCAGCTCCTTGTCGTGCAGCTCCTTGCCGTGCACAGCCTCGTGCCGCGCACAGCCCCGACAGTTCCGTGTCGTGCACCACCTCCACTGGCAGGTCATGGCCGTGCAGCTTACCATCGATCGACGAAGAAAAAACCCAATGTATAAACTTTTGACGTTCCGCTTGGAGCGCCAACAGTTCATGTATGCCGTCTTTTCTTCTTCTAATTGCAAGGCTCTGTGTCGTGCACCGCCTCGCTCGGCAGCTCCTTACATTGTTCGAGCAGCTCCGTGTCGTGCACCTCCTCGACCGGCAGTTCTTCGTCATACGCCACCGCCTCCAGCAGCTGGTTGTCGTGCAGCCCCTTGTCGTACCACTCGTTGTCGTGCACCGCCTCGCCCAGCAGTTCCTTGCCGTAACGCTCCTGCGCGAAGATGGCGTGAAGGGTAATCCTCAAGCCACCGCCTGCGCCAACGACCTCGCGTGAGCCAGTGGGACCACCTCCAGATCCGAAGGCTCCTTGTTCTGCCGCGCCTTGTCGTTCACCACCTCGGACAGCTTTAAGCCCCACGACCTCGAGCTGGCCGAACGCACGCGCATCGCGAGCGACGTCATCGTGTCGTACTCGTCGGTCGCGTAGCGCATCGACCATTCGCACACGTAGGGCTGGTTGTAAAGGATGTTGCTGATCAGCGCGTTGAGATACTCATTCGTAATCCCAAACCAACTGCTGACATCCTCGATCAAAAACTTCGTGCAACAAGAATTCGACTCGGGGCGGAGGAGTACGATAGTGTAGACAAGAAATCCCGTTACTCTGTATCCTATATAAACTCCAGCGGCTCTGCAGCACCACTTCAAAATCTCAGAGTCTCTCCAGAGGTCTACATCGCCCGCGACGTGCAGGCCGTGTCGCACTCCTCCATCGTGCCCCCTTCTCTCAGGCCCCCATAGCGGCGGAGGCTCCAAAAGAGAGGGGGGGGGGGGCCGAGCGCCCCCGAGCGCTCATGACGAATTCGTCCTCAGAGGCGCCCCCGAAAGGATTCATGGGCGCCTTGGCTGACCACAGTCGGCCGAGTCGAGGTCCGTGCTGAAAAATGATCGACTGCGAGCCAATGACCTTCACCACGCGTCTCCGCATGGTCGGCGTCTGCACCCTGCCCGCGAAAGAGGTGCAGCAGCCGTAGTCTCCGATATTTAGAGAGAACGGCGAAGATCAATTAGTCGGAGTCGATGGCGACAAACTTCGTGTTGTGCTCGGTGCTCCGCTTCACTGTGGCCCACTTGCGGGTGATCTCCATCCACAGGCTCGTAGGGCTCGATCAGTTGGATCCGTTCGCTTCGCGCGCCTCTTTGTGGGGGAGTGCTGCTCGGACTTGGATTTTACAATTTTGGCAAAAGGCTGGATGTGGTCTCCAGGGAGTTCCCTTATCACCGCGGTCGTGCTCTCTGCTGGGGGTCGCTCGGGAGCCGCAGTGCGTGAGCCTACTCATGTGTGTTTGCCCGTGGTGTTGGAGTTTCTTGTGGATGACATCTGAGTCGTAGGCTTCGCTTTCGGGTTCCGCTTCGTCATAGAGCGTTTCTTCTTCTTCTTCTGCCTAGCTCTGCTGTTCATACTCTTGAGTGTCAATAGCGTGGTCGGTCCAAGTACATCTGGTACTATCCGAGGGCATTCGACTGCTTCGCGATGCACCTGAGGGCGCCAGCGCAGCGCGCGGGCGGGTTCAACAAGCCTCTGTGGCAGTTAGCATGCAGCAGCGTTCAAGCAGAGTTCCTTGTGGGATCTGGCGCCTTGTCGTCACAACCTCTGCTTCAATTTGCGCTTCCAGTCGGAGATGGCGCCGTCCCCCCACTCCTCGGCGCCACCCCAACATACAACTGTTATGTGTGCATCGCCCCCCAGTGGCGACGCGCACCGGGAAATCTGCAATGTTTTTTTGTCGCGGCCTCGAGCGAAAGCGCAGGAGGCGTCCGAAAAGGTCGGGCGGGCTACGCGCGAGCCTAATTATACAGCGACCGAGCGCGGGATCAGAACCAATCTGCAGCGTACGCGTCGTGTCAGGACACTTTCTGGCCACCATGCTGGTCGGACGACCGCCTCCAGGGCGGACATATAATAGCATCAGCGTGTCTCTGTGCGTCCCAGCTCCTGCGTGGAGGAGGCTGGCGCGCCAGAGTCAGGCGCTGTTTCGGCGCTTACTCGCACGCTGTTCCCTCCTCTTCCTCCTCCTCCTCCTCCTCCTCCCTCCCTCTCTCCCTCCCCTCCCTCCTGACGCTGACCCTGGCGGGCGCCCCGTCTGTGTCGAAAAAACAAAAAACTCCTGCTGCACAACGTGTCATCCACCCAAGCCGCCCAAAGAGCCCCAGCCGGAAGAGTATTTCCGTGGGGGGGCCGAGGGTATGGGGGAAGGCCGGTGGTGATTATAGGGGGCAGTGGAACAGATTGCGATTCAGCAGGGGGGGGGCCATACCGCCACCCCCCACACAGATTTTCGATCCTCCTAGATCCTCGATGTTCTTCCTCGATCTTCCACGATCCTCCTCCTCGATCCTCCTCGTTCCGCCTATTCCTTCCCCCTCCGACTCTTTCCCCCCCCCCTCCTTCCTCTTCCCTTTCGTCTTCTTGTGGTAAGAGACATGTATTCCTTCGCCTTACGCTGCTGTTTTGCTGTTTCACGTCCTATTTCACAGAACGCTAAAGGACCATGAGTGGCCAATGCGCCGCCTGGCGCACGGTGAGGAGTGTTGGACAGGTCGGTTGGTTGATCGGTTGGTCGGTTGACAGGGTGGCAACTCGTCTGCTTGGCTGGTTGTTTGGGTGGTTGGTTGGCAGGCTCGAAACCAGGTAGCTGGCTGGTTGGTTTGCTGCATACTTCGGTTCGCCGGTTGGTTTGTCGCCGAGGCTTTCTTATTCGAAGAGGAAGAGAGATTCCAAAGACAGGACGGATGTAAAGACATGACGGCTGCGGGAGCGGATCACAGGGGCCATGGCCGCGGGAGCCCGCCTGCGTCGCAATCCAGATTGGATTGCAACCTCCAAAGGGCGCGCGCGTCGTAATTTGAAGGGGGTCGTTTCCCTGGGAGCGCGCGTGTGTTGTAATGTTTGCCGCGTCTCGCCTCCTCACCAGCCTTTCCAGCAACGACTCCAGGGGAGTTGTCTTAGCGAGGGGAACTTATCCTCGAGCATTCCCCTCTACAGTATTATCCTGTGAGTTGGCAGGCGCCCCGCGAATGCATGTTTGGCATATCCCAAAGTCGTTCGTGACAGGGGGGGCGCCGAGGATGACGTACGGAAAAGCGAGCCGCCAGCGACGGAAGAGCTCATGCAGCAAAGTTTTTATTTCATCCCGAACCGATGATTTTGCATATTGTTGGAGAAATTCCGTTTAGTTGCACGTGAACAGCCAGCAAGTCACCCAGGAACGTTACCCAGGCGCCCAGGCGTGTTGCCACGATCCAACAGTGCAATCACATGCAGTGGAGTAGCCGCTCAAAAGGCCGGCGAAACAAGAAACGAAGCTTGCCGACGACGGGAGAGCCCATAGAGCCAAACATCCATAGCATACAGAACCGATGTCCAGGCGAGTTGTCCTAAGGGCCTCGTGGAGGCCACACATGAGCAGTCAGCGGCGTCCTGCCCAAACCAACGAAGTGTAACGGTATAGAGTGGAACAGCCGTCCAGACGGATTTGCGGAAACCGCCGTCTACCGCCAGCGGAAGAGCCCATACAACAGACAGTCATGATCATCCAGAACCGATGCCCGGGCAAGTTGCCTTAGGAGCCTCGTGTACAACTCTTGGAGTCGCCTTGGGAGGGGAGGGGGATAGCAGGAGGAGGAACAGGAGGATGAACCCGATGCGCAGGCAAGTCGTGGTAGGACAGCCTACACCATGATGGCCACCTAGCCACCACTATGCATTGGTGTTTGCCAGGGATGGCGTGCCCGCAGACACAAGACAATATAAGGGCACCCGCATCACCCGTTTCACCAGACAGAGCAGAAATTTTCGTTCGACGCCCCCACATGGTTTAAAATGCTACTGCAGAGTGTCCGCTGGATTGTTTTGACAAGGGGGCGGGGGGCGTTGTTCGAATTTTCCGCCGGTCGGGCGGGGGAGGGGATGTTTAGCAATCAAGGTCAGAATAAAGTCCTCCCCGAATCGGAGAAGAAGGGATGTTGGGAAGGGGCGAGAAGAATTGTTATACCACATCCACCCAGTGGGCTGGTGGGATTCACGAAAGGCTGTGGCTTCGAGGGCGCGCGCAGTGTAACTCACGAGGGGGCGTGGCTTCGGGAGTGAGGACCCACTTGATTGTCACGTGTCCCAGGACACCGAGAAGCTGAGAGAGCATGGTTTTGGGGTGGTACTGAATTCCTCTCGGGCCGCGGGGGGCGCGCGCGCGCGCTGCAGAATCTGAATTGGCGTTCGTTCTGAAACCTGGCTGTTCTGCACACTGACACTGGCGATTTGCAAATGAACGGTTGGCGATTGTTTGAGCTGTCAAAACACGTTTACAGGGGGGCAGAACCAAGTCTTCGCAGCCCGGTGGCCTCCGCAAGGTGGACCGGCGCATTCAGTTGTTAGGTGTTTCTCATGGCTCCCAACCATCGAGGATATCATCCTGTTCGCCTATTCCTGTTTCCCCTAGTTGTTTTCTTCGTCGTGTTCCCACGCGCCTTTCTCGTTGTCTGCTCCCCCGGGCCGCCCGTGCGTCCATGGCCTCTGGGCGGGCGGGGGGGGGGGGGGCTCCGGGCACCTGGGCGGCAGGTTACCGCTCGCCCGCCCCTGGGATGCGCGAGGGCAGCTCCAATGTAGGGAAGCTAACGGAGACTGCTCGACGGTCAGCCCACGACCACGCCTACACTTCCGCACGCTCGCCATATTTGCAAAACGCCGACATGTGAAATCCAGTTGTGGGGGCTGGGGTCGCCTTCCCACTGTTCGAACCAGGCCGTGAGTGCCTTTGTCCATCGTAGGGGAACGAACAATGACATAAGCACGAAAATTCGGAGGTCCGCGCCGATCTCTCGGATCGGCGTTGGATCCCCACCCCCTTTGGCGCGCGGAGCGCGCCAGGGGCGACGCCGGAGTCCCCCCCCCCGCCCGGATCACGTCACGTTATTTCCTCCGATTGCGGATTAATCCGACTGATTCTTCTGGGATTTCCTGCGAATTTTGGCGGCCCCCCGCCGTGATGTGATCGGGGGGTACGGAGTCCCCTTTCTCTCCCCTGATCACGCTCCTTTTCGGGACCACCAATAAAACGGGCTCGTGCACCACACAAATTGCATCGCATAGATTGCGCCACGTATGTTGCACCATGTATACGGACGGCGTCACATGCATAGCTTACCATACACGTGTGTATGAGCGTTTGTTCACACGTTCCATTCCACTGGTTACGGTATGTACATGTAAATCGACCATATGATCACGGGGAGATGGCGTGTTTACATGACCGTGTAGCTTTATGAACATATTTATATGTATGTACATGTATATGCAAATGTACGTGTATATATGTGTGTATGCATGTATATATACATATACAAATATATATATATATATATATATATATATATATATATGTATATATACATATAACGGCGCACCGGGTCCGGGGGCCCGGGGCCGGGACCTCGACCGCAAATGTGCACCCCGGGGGGCCCGGAGGCTCGTCGGGGCTTGCCGGAGGCCTCCCCAGTCAGACAAGACGGCCCAAGAAGCGCCCAAGACGGCCCAAGAAACTTCCAAGAGGCCTCCAAGAGGGCTCCGAGATGCTGAAGATGGCCTCCAGACGTCCAAGGACGCCCCCAAGAGGCCCCAAGAAGCCTCCAACATGCGTCCCAAGAGGGCCCCTAGACGCAAAAATTGGCCCATTCCCTTCGTAAAACGTACATTTTCAACAAAGTTGTCTTTTGGGCTTTCCGACGTTACAGGACGGCCCAAGAGGCGCCCAAGACCGCCCCAAGACGGCCCAAGAAGCTTCCCAGAGGGCCCCAGGACAGCCCAAGAGGGCCCCAAGACGGCCCAAGAGGCGCCCAAGATGGCCCAAGAGGGCCCCAAGACGGGCCCAAGAGGGGGCCCAGAGGGGGACCACGAACCGCAAGCTCGAGCCTTCCGCCCCAAGAGGCCGCCAGGAGGCCCCCAGGAGGCCCCTCAAGAGGCCCCAGGAGACCCCAGACGTCCAAGGACGCCCCCAAGAGGCCCCAAGAAGCCTCCAACATGCGTCCCAAGAGGGCCCCTAGACGCAAAATTGGCCCATTCCCTTCGTAAAACGTACATTTTCAACAAAGTTGTCTTTTGGGCTTTCCGACGTTACAGGACGGCCCAAGAGGCGCCCAAGACCGCCCCAAGACGGCCCAAGAAGCTTCCAAGAGGGCCCCAGGACAGCCCAAGAGGGCCCCAAGACGGCCCAAGAGGCGCCCAAGATGGCCCAAGAGGGCCCCAAGACGGGCCCAAGAGGGGGCCCAGAGGGGGACCACGAACCGCAAGCTCGAGCCTTCCGCCCCAAGAGGCCGCCAGGAGGCCCCCAGGAGGCCCCTCAAGAGGCCCCAGGAGACCCCAGACGTCCAAGGACGCCCCCAAGAGGCCCCAAGAAGCCTCCAACATGCGTCCCAAGAGGGCCCCTAGACGCAAAAATTGGCCCATTCCCTTCGTAAAACGTACATTTTCAACAAAGTTGTCTTTTGGGTTTTCCGACGTTACAGGACGGCCCAAGAGGCGCCCAAGACCGCCCCAAGACGGCCCAAGAAGCTTCCAAGAGGGCCCCAGGACAGCCCAAGAGGGCCCCAAGACGGCCCAAGAGGCGCCCAAGATGGCCCAAGAGGGCCCCAAGACAGGCCCAAGAGGGCGCCCCGAGGGAACCCCACGTGGGCCCAAGGAGGCCCAAGAGGGACCCAAGAGAGCCCCAAGAGAGCCCCAACATCGGTCACGCGGAAGAGCTCTCGCGTGACCGATGTTGGGCCCCTCTGTGGGCTCCTCTTGGAGCTCCGAGAGGAGCCAAAGATGGCCCCACGAGGGCCCCGACGAGACCCCAAGAGGGCCCAAGCAGGCCCAAGAGGGACCCATGAGAGCCCCAGCATAGGTCACGCGGAAGAGCCCTCGCGTGACCGATGTTGAGCCCCTCTTTGGGCTCCTCTTGGAGCTCCAAGAGGGGCCCAAGATGGCCCCACGAGGGCCCCGAGGGAGCCCCACGTGGGCCCAAGGAGGCCCAAGGAACCCCAAGATGGCCCCAACATCGGTCACGCGGAAGAGCTCTCGCGTGACCGATGTTGGGCCCCCTCTTTGGGCTCCTCTTGGTGCTCCGAGAGGAGCCCAAGATGGCCCCACGAGGGCCCCGTCGAGACCCCAAGAGGGCCCAAGGAGGCCCAATAGGGCCCCAAGAGGGCCCCAACATCGGTCACGCGAAAGAGCTCTCGCGTGACCGATGTTGGGCCCCTCTGTGGGCTCCTCTTGGAGCTCCGAGAGGAGCCCAAGGTGGCCCCACGAGGGCCCCGACGAGCCCCAAGAGAGCCCAAGAGGGCCCCAAGAGCGCCCCAACATCTCCTCTCCTTCCTCCTCCTCCCTCCTCTGCATCTTCCTCCTCCTCCTCCTTCTCATCCTCCTCCTCCTCCTCCTCCTCCTCCTCCTTCTCCTCTCCAGGGGAATGAAAACCAGAGGATAGCTCACGGAGAGCCCAAGCACCCTCTTGTTGCATCCATCTTGGCTTCCAGATGGAGCCCAAGAAGGCCCCAAGGAGGCCCCTCAAGAGGCCCCAGGAGACCCCAGACGTCCAAGGACGCCCCCAAGACGCTTCGCGTCACCAATTTCTTCTCGCAACGATTCCTGGGTCTGTGACTCGACAGAACCTAAGCGCGCGCGAAGCGCGCGCGTGGTTCTAGTATATATATATATATATATATATATATATATATATGCGACCATATGTATGTAGCAGCGCACATGCATATACACCTGTCTTAAATACACCCCATGTCCGAGGCCAGATTCTGCGTTCTCCCTCCTGGCGAGTGTATTCTCTGGATGTGTTATGCATGACCGTCCATGTGTTATGCATGACCATACCAGCCAGGCCAATATTGACCTCCCCACTCATCTATGACAGATGAAATTTCGCAGTGCACATGCGCGGATCTGAAAAGTGTTGTTCCTCAGAAGCCGATGATAAAAAAAGAATGCGGTGCGGGACGCATGCGCGTGCCGCCGCACGCGCCCTGTCAAAATCACGCACAAACTTTGGATCGATTGACAGTTTCAATGACGCTGGTAGCCAACATATATCGAAGCGTGGGTGCTTCAACGAAAATATGCCAGGTGCCTGCGCGCACTGCCTCAAGTCACGAGGCAGCAGTCGGTTCCCAGGTTCCCAGCCAGCCTGTCGCACGACGCCGTGCGAGCCACGCGCGCGCGCCTGCCAGGAGCTGTCCACACCCACCGCGCGCCCACCAATTCTTCCAAATAATGCCACACGGGCCACACGCGCGCGCCTCCGCGCGCGCACACCCCAAAGCCGTCCAGCGTCCATGTCGACGCAGAGGGCTCAAGCACGTACGACAACATGTTCCCCGAGCAGTGCTTGCACCTGGGGACTCCTACTTTTCGTATACAAAAAAACGAGACCTTGCCGTCGCCAGCGTTTTTCGTCACGAGTTTGGTTGCGCGAGGCTCGCATGCGTCATTGTTTTGCATTGCCTTGCATTTGTTTGAAATTTCTTCGCACTGCATCTCATTGAATATGGTTCTATAGTGTTGCTTTGCTATGCGTTCATTTGCATCACACTGCATTGTGTCGCTTTGCTTCGCAGTGCGCTGCATAGTTCTCCATTGTCTTGCATTGCCTTGCATCGCTTTGCGTTGCGTTGCATTGCTTGGCATTGCTTGGCATCGCTTCGCGCTGTTTCGCATGGGTTTCCATTGCCTTGCACGTTATTGCAGCGCACTGTATTGTTATACGTCGCATTGCATTGCATGGCTTTGCGTGGCACTGCTTCGCATCGCATTGCATCGCATTGGGTTGTGTTGCGTGGCAATGAGTTGCATGGCATTGCATTGCATGGCATTGCATGACATTGCGTTGCACCACATAGATTGCACCACATGGACTGCACCACATTGATTGGATTACTTTGGTTGCACCAACTAGACTGCACCGCGTAGACTGCAAGAAACCATTGTTTGAGGTTCATGCAGGGGAACGTGTATGTTCAAGAATGCGCTGGAAAATGCGAATTTCTGCGAGCGCGCACTTGCATCATCGTCGTCGCCGTCATCATCACCTCCGCGGTCGTCATCGTCATGGTCGATGTCCTCACCTTGGTCAGGGTTCTGCGCGCGCACTTCCTCGTCACCCTTACCGACACCATCACCATCGCAAGCGTCATAGCTGCCACAGTCGCTATCTCACAAGCAGCTTTGGCACCATCACCATCATGGTCATCATCATGGTCATCATCATCATCATGGTCATCATCATCATCATCATCATCATCATCATCATCATCATCATTGTCATCATCAGCAGCATCATCACCATCGCCAGCGTCATAGCTGCCACCGCCACTATCTCACAAACAGCTTCGTCACCATCGCCATCTTCGTATGCATCGTCCCTGTCGCCGCCCGCTTGAGTTCTGCCAGCAGCGTGCGGGTGGGTGGCGGGACACTTGCACGAGCATTGGAGTTGGCCACGCGCGGACGCGGTCAGACTCGAGGAGGAAGAGGAGGAGGAGGAGAAGGAGGAGGAGGAGGAGGAGGAGGAGGGGGAGGAAGAGGAGGAGGATGGGGAGGAGGAAGGTGAGGATGAGGTCAATTGCACGAGGCAGGTTGCACCACTTATCGATCGCACCGCTTGCGCTGCGCATCGAGGCTGTCCGTGCCGACTGCCTGGGGCCCACGCTGGACGGGGCTCGCGTGCCCCTGGAGCTACCGTGCCGTTTTTTAATGCTCCGCGTGCGGATCCTGTATAAAAAATGCAGGGATTGAGTATTAAACACAAGGATGAGTTCATTCATAGATTCATGCATAGATTAACCCTGTTTGAAACATCTTATATGTTTATATGATTTGTTGTTTCTATCTATAAAAACAATTCAAAGCAATAGTAATATTATTCACAGTAGTAATAATAATGATACTATTAACAATAATAATAATAATAGTAATACAATCATCAAAACTATGTTAAACAAAAAAATGCCCTGTGCTGCCAGCAGCCCCCCCGTCCCAGGAGGTGACGGATGCGCACATATGGTCGGACCCCCACTGCGCGCGCCTCGACGTGGTGCACCCGGAGCTGAGGGGGGGCGGGGGCGGGGCCGACGGTGAAGGCGTGCTTCTTTTCGGGGGCGGAAAAGAGGGGGGTGATGACTAGGGGTGGGTGGATTTCATGGCGCGGGCCATGATTTTTCCTCAGATTTCATGGCGGCTCTTCTTATTTCATTACGTCCCAGGCCCTCCCGCTGGGCCGCGCACGTGCCGCCGGTCATGATTTGCACCCCCCCTCTTGGACACCCCCCTCCTGGCCGCTCCCGATCTTTGATGCAGAGGCGACGTGTCCAAGGAGCATCGCGGGGGCTAGAGGAACAGAGCGCGGGGGGGGCAGGGGCGAAGGGCAAAACGCGGACGAGGGGGAGGACCAGGAGGGATGAGGAGGGAAGAAAAGGCAGGGGAGGGCCGAGGACTTCCAACTTCCCTCTTCTCGCGTCTACAGTCGGGGCTCTGAATAAGGAACCCTTTTCGTTGGGGAGGGGCTCCGTGTTCCTCATCCTTGGATTTTCGATGGGAAGTCGAAGTTGAACTTCTGGAGAAAAGGGGCCTCGCTCCTTATTTTGTAGGGTTCCTTAGGTCGACGCCCCGACGGTACCGTCGAAGTCAGCCCGATCAATGCCTAGGGAGGCTGCTGCTGCGCCGCCGCCGGGAGGCGAGGCCCTGGCAGAGGTGACCCCCGGAACCGCCCGACCTCCCCTTCCTGCCACCTCGTGCTTCAAGAGGGAAAAGAAACACAGACACAATGAATCGTCGATTCCCCCGAAGAGGTGCGAAAATATGGGAAATCGGGGGGGAACCAGTGACAATATAGGAGAATATAGGGGGTCCTGGGATTCGTGCGCGTGTGTGAATTTTTGGGGTGTTTGTGGGCCCCTTCAGTGCTTCCCTCCTGCCCCTTCCTCTCTCTCGCCCACCCGCCCCTCGGCCACCCGACTCCCCCCCCCAAAGCGCCATCGCGCTCCCAGGCCCCCGACGTCATGATTTTGTGACAACGTCGACCCTACCGTGTCAATTTTTTCATACTGGGCGTTTTCGCCTTTCTTCGGGTCCTGGGACCCTCACAGGTCGATCCCGCTCGAAAAATGACGCAGAAAAATGGGGTCCGGGGCTCCAGTCTCGATTTTCCACGATGTCGCAATTGTTTCGCAACGTCGGATTTCAATGTAGACCCACTCGTCCAGACCGGCTTTTCATCCTGAGCCGTTTTTTGACCGCCCCGCGGCCCGACAAGGGCCGGTGGAGGCCGAACATGACGAAAGAGACCTTCCGTCACGTTCCCAGAGATCCGACGTCGTGATTTTTTCAATACGCGGTCCCCCGAAGTCTCGACCCATTCCCCAGGACCGGTTTCTCATCCTGAGTCGTTTTTTTGACGGTCCCGGGGCCCGGCGAGGGCCCCTAGAGGCGACGTGTCCAAGGAGCATCGCGGGGGCTAGAGGAACAGAGCGTGGGGGGTGCAGGGGCGAAGAGCAAAACGCGGACGAGGGGGAGGACCAGGAGGGATGAGGAGGGAAGAAAAGGCAGGGGAGGGCCGAGGACTTCCAACTTCCCTCTTCTCGCGTCTACAGTCGGGGCTCTGAATAAGGAACCGTTTTCGTTGGGGAGGGGCTCCGTGATCCTTCATTGTTTCACATTTGGCCCCAGGTTATCCTTGGATTTTCGATGGGAAGTCGAAGTTGAACTTCTGGAGAGAAGGGGCCTCGTTCCTTATTTTGTAAGGAGCGACGCCCCGACGGTACCGTCCAAGTCAGCCCTATCAATGCCTAGGGAGGCTGCTGCTGCGCTGCCGCCGGGAGGCGAGGCCCTGGCAGAGGTGACCCCCAGAACCGCCCGACCTCCCCTGCCTGCCACCTCGTGCTTCAAGAGGGAAAAGAAACACAGACACAATGAATCGTCGATTCCCCCGAAGAGGTGCGAAAATATAGGAAATCGGGGGGGAACCAGTGACAATATAGGAGAACATAGGGGGTCCTGGGATTCGTGCGCGTGTGTGAAGTTTTTGGGGTGTTTGTGGGCCCCTTCAGTGCTTCCCTCCTGCCCCTTCCTCTCTCTCGCCCACCCGCCCCTCGGCCACCCGACTCCCCCCCCCCAAAGCGCCATCGCGCTCCCAGGCCCCCGACGTCATGATTTTGTGACAACGTCGACCCTACCGTGTCAATTTTTTCATACTGGGCGTTTTCGCCTTTCTTCGGGCCCTGGGACCCTCACAGGTCGATCCCGCTCGAAAAATGACGCAGAAAAATGGGGTCCGGGGCTCCAGTCTCGATTTTCCACGATGTCGCAATTGTTTCGCAACGTCGGATTTCAATGTAGACCCACTCGTCCAGACCGGCTTTTCATCCTGAGCCGTTTTTTGACCGCCCCGCGGCCCGACAAGGGCCGGTGGAGGCCGAACATGACGAAAGAGACCTTCCGTCACGTTCCCAGAGATCCGACGTCGTGATTTTTTCAATACGCGGTCGCCCGAAGTCTCGACCCATTCCCCAGGACCGGTTTCTCATCCTGAGTCGTTTTTTTGACGGTCCCGGGGCCCGGCGAGGGCCCCTAGAGGCCGAAAATCGAGAAAAACCTTCGTCTTGTTTTTTTCAATACGTTGGAGGTCTGGCCAGGTTTTTTCCTTGACCCGGGCGGGTCTGGGTCGAGGGGCCCTCGGTTGGGCCCCGCCCGCCGGATCCGGTCGCGACCGCCTAGCGTGCGCGCGACTTGCCTTCAGGGCGTGCGCCTGGCGGCCAAGAGGCCGAGTGGCCGGGCGCGCAGGCGCGACCCCGCCACGGACCGGGCCACGGCGTGCAGGGGCCCTGGTGTCGGGGACGGAAAAAAGGGGGGTGATGACTAATGGAGGATGACGATTAAGAAATGACCGGGGGTCGTGTTCACACCGGCCGCGGGCTGGAAAACTATTTTTGTATTGCTCTCCTTCAGTCAGAAAATTGTGCAGAAATAGCAGGAAGCTATTTTCTGAATCGTTCTCTCACAATTTTTTTTAATCGTCATCCCGAATTAGGGGGAGGGGATATCATGGCGGGGGCCATGATATTTCCCCAGATTTCATGGCGCCTCTTCTCATTACATGACGTCCCTGGCCCCCCCGCTGGGCCGCGCACATGCCGCCGGTCATGAGTTGCACCCCCCCCTCCTTGACACCTCCCTCTTTGCCGCCCCCGATGGTGGAGACCTTCGCGGCCAGACCGCTCGACTACACGTCAGAGTGACCCTTCGCCGGATTGACCGTTGGTCCCAGACCTCTTCGCGTCGTGGAAAAATCACGACGGGAGGTTTGGGACCATTTTCGGCCTCCGGGGGCCCTCACCAGGCCTCGGGACCCTCAAAAAACGACTCAGGATGAAAAGCTGGTCCGGGGGAAGGGGTCCAGACCTTCCTGGGATTCGACGTTGTGAAAAAAATCACGACGTCGGGTGTCTGGGGTGCGGATTCATCGTGGCCCCCCCGATCGCCTTCGAGCACCATGCGATAGCAGCGGCTTGCGCGCCTGGTTTTGGCCTCCTCGCGCCCCCCCTGAAGCCGCGCACCAAGTGTCACTCTCGCCCAGGGTCGCTCTTGAAACGCCCGGCAAAGGAGTTTCGGGGGCCATCCCCGCCTCCTTCCCCAGACAACCTCGGGTCATGGAGAAGTCATGACGTTTTTTTTTCTTTGTTCCCAACCCTCCTGCGTTGGGTACTCGTTTTGAATAGAGCACTGCGGTCTCCACCTCCCTTCCCGCCCCCCGCTCTTCCCTCCTCCTCTCCTCTCTTGCTTGCCTTCTCCTCCTCTCTTCGCTCCTCCTCTTCTCTTCTCTTGCCTTTCACGTCATCCCTGGCGGGCCGCGATCTGCGGAACTGTCACCACTTTCGAGGGCTGCTGGTGGGTCCAGCGGAGTGAGGCACCACGGGGACTCAGATTAGACCTCGCCATCCCTGGGGGGGGGGCTGCGATCTGTGAAACTGTCGCCACTTTCGAGGGCTGCTGGTGGGTCCAGCGGAGTGAGGCACCACGGGGACTCAGATTAGACCTCGCCATCTCTGGGGGGGGGCTGCGATCTGTGAAACTGTCACCACTTTCGAGGGCTGCTGGTGGGTCCAGCGGAGTGAGGCACCACGGGGACTCAGATTAGACCTCGCCATCTCTGGGGGGCTGCGATCTGTGAAACTGTCGCCACTTTCGAGGGCTGCTGGTGGGTCCAGCGGAGTGAGGCACCACGGGGACTCAGATTAGACCTCGCCATCTCTGGGGGGCTGCGATCTGTGAAACTGTCGCCACTTTCGAGGGTTGCTGGTGGGTCCAGCGGAGTGAGGCACCACGGGGACTCAGATTAGACCTCGCCATCCCTGTGTGAAACTGTCGCCACTTTCGAGGCTGCTGGTGGGTCCAGCGGAGTGAGGCACCACGGGGACTCAGATTAGACCTCGCCACCCCTGGGCGGCTGCGATCTGTGAAACTGTCGCCACTTTCGAGGGCTGCTGGTGGGTGGCCAGCGGAGTGAGGCACCACGGGGACTCAGATTCTGACCACGAGCAATGCTCGCGTGCCCTTGCTCTGCGGTTCGTGCCACGTGGCGCTGCGACTCGAGCTGGCGGTCGTCCTTCGGACCCGCAGAAACATCTGCTGAGCTCGATGAGCTAGGGGAACTACAGGAAAGAAGTGCAGGAAACGGAGGCCGGTCATGCACTCGCCGATACCTCGTTGCTCTGTCATCGTCTTTGCTGTTGCATGATCCTTATCTGGCCTGCCGGCGCCGCGGCTCGAGCTGGCGGTCGCCCTTCGGGCCCGCGGGAACATCTTCTGAGACAAGTGGACGCCGCCGCCTTACTTGCAGGCAGCGCATTGCATTCGCGGACAGCAGCATGGCAGACCGCAGTGAGATCCTCAGTCGCGTGGTGTTGCCAAGCCTGGTGGAGACGCGCGTGATCGACCTGAAGTCCCAATCGCGCGTGCACTGTACCTGCGTGGCGTTCAGGCACGCGCGTGATGCTGCTCGCTCCGCGTTCAACCAGTACGTCGCCAGTGCAACTTTGGACGATGGACAACCGATTGATGATACGCGACCCCGGCCTTGAGTTTCTTTCCCGCGGGCCGCCCGCAGACCTGGCGGCGCGCCTGCGAGCGTTCAGCTCCCGCGCTGAAATGCGCGGGAAGGAGGCGGAGAAGCTAGCGGGCGAGCTACGCCTCGCTCGTTCCTTGCACTCTAAACAAGTTTTATCATGTGGAACTCTGCGACGACATGGCGCAGGCAGCGCTGCGGGTTTAGCTCGCGCTTGGAAAACGCGGCAGTCTTCTGTCTCCTCCCGCCACTTTCATCGTCGTCCTATTCCCCGCCTCACCTTCTCCATGCATGTTGCTGCTTCCGCGATGGCCTTTCGCCCCCCCGCCTTCCATTCCATCCCTCTCCTACCCCTCGTTCCCGTACCCGTTATTCTTCGATCCTGGGGCCTCAAGCCTCGTTCTGTCGATCGTCGTCCTGTGAATCGTGCAACGCATGCGCATCCCATGTAGCTTGCGCAGCAAATCGCCGCGTCTACACTGTCGTTGTTCCTGCTAATGTTGGCATATTCCTCTTGCCATTTGATGCACGTGGGTTGGGTACGTCGCAGGGTAATGTTTGGCCTCTGGTGGCCCTTACATCGGGCCTCGGGACCGCCAAATAACGGTTCAGGATGAAATGACGAACCAACAACACACACCCATACCCATAGGGGGTCGGAGAGGGCTATGGGTGCGTGTTGTCGGATTGGGGTCCCCGTTCGAGCGGGAGCGCTCCCCAGGGTCCGACAGCCCGCACCCATACCCATGGCCAGTCCTCCTCCCAACGACCCCCCTATGGGTATGGGTGTGCGTTGTTCGTTCGTCATGAAAAGCTAGTCCCAGGGAAATGGGGGGGGGAGGAGGAGGAGGAGGAGGAGGAGGAGGAGGAGGAGGAGGAGGAGGAGAGGAGGAGGAGGAGCAGGAGGGGGAGGAGGGAGGGGTAGGGGGAGGAGGAGGAGGAGGAGGGGAGGGAGGAGGAGGAGGAGGAAGAGGAGGAGGAGGAGGAGGAGGAGGAAAAGCAGGAGGAGGAGGAGGAGGATGAAGAGCCAGTCCCAGGGAGTGGGCCGAGGCCTCATGGGGCCGACGCTGCGCAAAGTGTCCTGGCGTCGGGGGTTCGGGTCATAGGGAGAGGGTGTGGCGACTGGAGGCCGCCACCAGGCGATTTTCGGGCTCCAGGGGGGGCCCTCCCATCAGGAGGGAAAAATACACACAGACACAAGGTAATCGTCGACCCCCAGGAAAATATTCGAAAATATGGGAAGTGGGGGGGAAGATGGAAATCAAACAAATATGGAAAACTATGGGGAATCGTTTTATTTGTGTGTATTTATTTGTGTGTCCAAGGGCCCCTTTATTCCAGACCTCCGCCGGTCCTCGGGAAGGGGTTCGCATCACCAGGGTGCCACGTCTGGAAACACGGCGACGCCGGATGCGAACGAGGTCTATGTCGGGCGTGTCCCCCTACAGGGGAACTTTCGACGAAAAAATAAAAATACTCAAAAAATCCCCCAAAAAGGTCAACAAATATTCAAAAAATAGTCCCCAGACCATTTTTGTTTATTTTTTTGTTTATTTTGGGGGTATTTTTATTTTTCGTCGAAAATCCCCCTGTAGGGGGACAGGCCCGACATAAAACTAGGTCACCAACAGGGGCGCGAAGATGATCGCGCTTCGCGCGTCGCGGCCCAGGCCGAACACCCGTCATCTTCAAAGGTGGCCCCCACGAGGGCGCGAACACAACAGCGCAGCTTCTGGCGCGATGCACGAAGGCTGGTGGCCTCGGGGAGGAGGTCGCCTCCGGCCCATCCCGCCGCCGACTCTGGGTCGTGAACAAGCGGCGAGCCTTTTGGGGACCTTCGGGGGGGCTCTTGAGAGCCTATTTGGGGCCTGCTGGCGGTCTTGGGGGACATATGGAAGCAGGGATGAACGGCTCCAATTCTAATTTCGAGCGCCGCCTCTGAGGCTCCTGTTGGGGGCCGCCTGCCCTACGCGGGACATCGAGACCGTCTTGGAGCGATTCGGGGGGCCTCTTGGGCCATCTTCGACGCGCAGACCGACAAGCTAATCATGCTAGAACTTTGGCCTCCTGGGGCGCCCCCAAGGCCTCCAAGACAGCACCAGCGGGTCCCGAGAGGGCCCCAGCGTGGACCCCTGGGACCAATCTTGTGGCATGTTGGAGGTTGCGGCTTCCAACCACTGCGTCCATTGCGACCCCATCGATCCGATCCGATATCGATTTCAGGCGTTCCGATTCGGTTGGGTCTGGTATTTCAGAGACCCGACGCGGCCTGGTGTTTGCACGACGCCCGTTGTAATCCTTGCGCGGCCGATCCAGTCCGATTCCGACTCCGTGCCGATGCCGTTCGCTCCGATGCATTTTCCGATTCGATCAGAATTCCTTGTTCGAGCATGGTTGGTCTTGAACAACGCCCCGGGGCCTTTGGAAAATGAGGAGGGTAAAAACATACAGACACAATATGAGAGAATATGGGAAGTGGGGGGGGAAGACAAAACCCCAGAAAATATGGGAAAGTGTGGAAAATTCTGTTATCTGTGTGTATTTACTTGTGTGCCCCAGGGCCCCTTCAGAAAAGTCGCGCGGGAAGCCGCGCGTCGAAGAATTTGTAGAAATCCGGGGCCTGGAGGCCTTCAGTAGCTCTTGCAATCGTGAGTAATGAGTATTCAAAGGGACTTGCGGACACTCCGCTCAGTGGCTCGTCGCAGGGTTGCGCAAATTCGTCGCTGCCACGGAGGCGGTAGCTCGATGCTCCGTAATATGAATTGCGCTCAGGATTTCAAAGGGCAAGGTTCACGCTCACCGCTGAACGGCAGATGAGTGTGGGTTTGGCTTCGGTACGATAGAATTTTGAACGTGGCCAGCGTGGCATAGTTAGGAGTTTTTTTTGGTTTTCTGGTTGCACCGATGTTGCATCATGGTTTTCGGTTTCGGTATGCGGCATTGCTGGAGGAGGATCAGACACGCGGCTCGGACGATGAACGATTTGCATGAGGATATTGTCCGCCGATCTGTTGTAAACGGCATATGCTATGCCAAGCGTTGGATTGTTCTAGTCATGTCTATTCTAGTTGGGTTGGATGCGGTTCCGTCCGTTGGCATGCTGAAGCGGGATATCTGGGAACCCGTCGGGGAGTGCAGGGTTGGCGCCAACATTGCGCACAACCAGGAACGCTTACGGCGACGAGTTGCTCAATGGTTTCATTCGTCTGGCTACTTGAAGTATGTTGCAAGCGTGGTTGGAATGTCGAAATGTCCATGCACTGCGCCAGTATGTTGTACGAGATAGATGGGGTATTCGATGTACTGCCACTGTCACGGTGTCCACGAGTTGTGCCATTGATGCATTTGCTGCGGGTGCTTCTTTGCATGGCTATATATATACATGTGTATGTATATGTATGTAACTACATATATACAGACACAAACAATTATATTCGTACATGTTTCAAAGCATCGTGACGACATGCCAACATCCAGAGCACCAGTGTCTTCAGCTGGAGGCACAGCGAGTACGTGCATATGCCGTTGGTTATGTGATAAGCCGCCGTCTCGAGTGGTAAGGAGGGTTTATGGGATGGGTTCGGCGTTCGGTTTGCAAATGGCTGCGCGTCGGCTGGGCAATACATATATTGTTATGCTTCGTTATAAGGTTTGTCACTGACTGCACATGTAGTGTTAGACATCGTATGTATGACCTAGCTCGTATAAATACCCTGTCTGTGCAGTATTATTTACGAGCTCACCTGCGCAGTCGCAGTAGTCACATTATTCAAGTTGTGACCGTACTTCTGATTCGATTAGCCCGCCTAACGAGTCAAATTACGGAGTTATTTTACAATTTTACAAGTAACGATCAAATGTTGTCCAACTCTTTCAACGCCGCACTGCATATCTTCATCGTTCAGCTCGTCGAACCCACCCAAGCATCGAATGAATCGAACACCTATGTTGGCCCCTCCGTATACTCGAATTCTAGTGTCGCTTCCAATCGCCTACCATTATAACCAGCATGGCCCATCTGCACGTTCTAAATCATAAACCTGATAATTCACCTGCAACCTTTTTTAACATGTTCGGCCATTCGAACATACACGAATATGATCACGTGCTGTGTTGCTTCATCATTGTGTACAGTGGGGTCTTGTACATTATACATATAATGGCGCACCGGGTCCGGGGGCCCGGGGCCGGGACCCCGACCACAAATGTGGGCTCCGGGGGGCCCGGAGGCTCGTCGGACCGCCGGACGCCGTCCAAGATCGTTCGCAGGCGGCTTCGGAACGCGCTCCGATGGCTCCAGATGCCTTCCAAGACGCCTGTCATGACACCAAGAAGGTCCCAGAAGCCTCCAAGACGCTCCGAGAGGCAGCCCAAGAGAGGCCCAAGAAGCACAAATCGTGCCATTCCCATGGGAAAACGTATATTTTTCGCATGTTCGCCTCTTGGGCTTTCACCGCGTCCAAGACGGCCCAAGAGGCGCCCAAGACCGCCCCAAGACGGCCCAAAAAGCTTCCAAGAGGGCCCCAGGACAGCCCAAGAGGGCCCCAAGACGGCCCAAGAGGCGCCCAAGATTGAGGGGGACCACGAACCGCAAGCTCGAGCCTTCCGCCCCAAGAGGCCGCCAGGAGGCCCCAAGGAGGCCCCTCAAGAGGCCCCAGGAGACCCCCAAGAGGCCCAAAGGAGGCCCCGAGAAGCCCCAAATCGGCCCCCAAAATGCTTCGAACCTGCTTCCAGCAGGCCCCCGACAGGTTCAGAGGCTCCCGAGAAGCTACGTCAAACTCCCAGCGAGCGGCCGGACGAGGCCCCCCACAAAATCACAAGAGGCTTCCAGTATGTGTATCCTTCAGCGCTCTCTGGCCTTCTTCCCCCTGCCCCCTTCCCTGCGACTTTCGTTGACTCAAGCTCGCCTCCTAGCTAGAACCTAAGCGCGCGCGAAGCGCGCGCGTGGTTCTAGTGCACATATGTATATATACATAAATAAATACATACATACATACATACATACATACATACATACATACCTATACATATACATATACATATACATATACATATACATATATACATATGTATCCATATACGTACAGATAAGTGCGCTCACGCCTCCAGAACTACTCAGATGTGTAGATATGCCGTCACCCACGGAGGCACGAAGCAGCCGCGAGCCGAGCACATGGGACAACGACAGGATGGAATCAAATCGGACGGGTCGACCGACCATCTGGGCAACCGCGCAAGGAAACCGCAGGATAAGTTTGGCCGTCAGGTTTGCATAACCTCTGACCCGTCTCACTTGTCTGACTCGTCCAACTGGCAGAGCGTCCTAGGAATATCAGAGGCGATGTGATTCGCCTCCGTAGGCCACTTGTTCGGACGGCCCCTCCAGCTCGAGCTACCTCGTCATGTCACCACCCCCTTGAACCACACTGCAGCCACGGGGCAACTGGCGGGGCAGCTGTGCGCAGCGGCGCGGCGAGCGGCGCCACCAGAGTGCACGGCTGGGCGAGGGCAGCCGTAGGACAGCCACGGGCCAGCAATGGGATATCGAGGAGAGGACAACCGAGGAACCATTCGGCGGGCGCGCGGGACAGCCACCGCACGGCGGCGGGGACATTTGCCTGGCATCGCTCGGACGTGTGTATCTTTTTTTCTCGGCGAGGACCCTTGAGGAACATCCTGGACCATCGAGCGAAAAAAAACACGAAACTGACAAATGCACTGGAAATGGACGTCCGAGCGACGGCAAGTTTGTGCTGAAACATATCTTATTTTGAGTGGACACCGCGCAGCCTCACCACCTCGCACACACACGACTCCAGCCGAAACCGCAAATTCAGTCTCGGGCGGGGGGGGCACTGCGCGGAGCTCCAATCGTATGCATGCCCGTGCGCAACCGCGAGCCAGATCCCCACGGCTGTGGATTTTCCCTTTCGGGCGTTCAGTTTGTACTTGTCCCAGCCTGGTGTTAATCTTCGAAGGAGAACACCTGCATACACGCCTGTTTGAAGGACCGCGTGGATTTCTCGGATGGGTGTTGGGCCCTCCGTGGCGGCGTCTCCGGCACCGCCCGTGGCCTTTTCCGCGCGCCAGAGGGAGGGAAGTCCATCGCCGATTCCAGGAAATCTGCGCGGACCTCCGAAATTTTATGTTCATGTCGTTGTTTGCTCTTCTTCCTTTCCTCTCTCGCCCCCGTCTGTTTTTTCTTGTTTCGCCAACGACCCCCAGCGAGAGGAGCAGCTGGCCCGACAGCCGCGGCACTGCCAGCGGCAGCCCCAGCACTGGCACTCCCGGCGCCAGCACCAGGAGCGGGCAAGCGCTCGGGCGTCCTAGCGGCTTGTTGGTACAAGGTCCTGGACACATCCTGGTAAGATAGTGGCAAGTTCGTGGCAGGGCCACGAAATGGGCTTGCGAAGCTCATGCTGCGAGATCCTGTGAAGGTTGTGGCGCGGTCCTGGTGAAGTCTTGGTCAAGACCCGGGGAGGTCCTCATAGGGTCTCGAGCCAGCGCTGAGGCGAGAGAAGAGTCATTCCGAGCATGGAAGTGTCCAGAGCTTGGGCGCGAGCCAGTCCAAGTGAAGCAAAGACCTCCCGTGCAAACCGTGCGGGCGGCAACCAAACGGCAGTCCAAGACAGAACCATGCTGGAACCAGAAGACCGTCCCAGCGGGGACCACGCAAAGCACCATCTGCGACTCCCGTCAGGGCCCTATGCACCTGACGTGTCGCAGGCACGTGAGAACATCCAAGTGCCCACGCCCGCAGATCAATCTTCGACTTCCGTTGGGGCCTTGTGCACCCGACGTGCGCAGGCATGTGAAAATATTCAACCACCCACGCCCCCAGAGCACGTATGCCCAGACATGCGACGCCCTGTTTTTTTCAATACGGGGTCCCTGGAAGTCCCGACCCTTTCCCTGGGATCGGCTTTTCACCCTGATTCGTTGGTTGACGGTCCGGAGGCCCGGCAAGGGCTTCCGAGGCCGAGCACTGGCCAAAACCTCCCGTCTTGTTGTTTTGTTTTACGACGCGAGCATGTGTGGGTACGCACACGCGTAGTCCTCTCAAGCAGTGAGGCACCAGGGCTGCTGGCACGGGCCCGCCCGTCGCCCTCACATCCTTGGAGGAGAAGGAGGAGGAGGCGTCGGCGGAGGAGGGGGAAGAAAAGGAGGAAAAGGAGGAGGAGGAGGAGGAGGAAAAGGAGGAGGAAAAGGAGGAGGAGGAGGAGGAGGAGGAGGAGGAGGAGGGGGAGGAGGAGCTCCCGGGGAAAAGCCCCGTGCTGGCGAGGGCTCCCACCGTCGACCTTCGGGGCCCCGCCCCCCGGGGCCGCGTGCTGGGTGGGGCGTGGCCAGCGCCTCGTCGGGCCGCGTGGTGGTGAGCTGTTTCTGGTAGAGGGCAGAAGGTCCACCCCCCTACCCAGACATGATCGCGTCGTTGAATCATGAATGACAAGTTTTTGGCGGCGTTCGGGTTCGGGGGGCCTTCGCCGGGCCTCGGGACCGTCAAGCAACGACTCGGGATGAAAAAGCGGTCCCCGGGAAAGGGTCGGGACTTCCAGGGACCCCGCATTGAAATTATCCTGGGGAAGGACCCAACCATATGCAGTTGTGAATACCGCAACTGCGGAGCTCCCTATGTGGCCACAACACGCGTGAGGGGTGTGCCAAAATAGGGCGGCGCCGCCATGCGGGCTGCGCCACTTGGACCCTAGGTGGAGCTCCCTATGGGGCCGCGAAGCGCGTGAGGGGTGTGCTGGAATCGGGCGGCGGCGCCATGCGGGCTGCGCCACTGGGACCTGGAGTGGAGCTCCCTATGGGGCCACGAAGCGTGTGAGCGGTGTGCCAAAGTGGAGCGGCGGCGCCATGCGGGCTGCGCCATTGGGACCTGAGGTGGAGCTCCCTGTGGGGCCACGGAACGTGTGAGGGTTGTGCCACAATGGAGCGGCGGCGCCATGCGGGCTGCGCCGCTGGGATCTTAGGTGGAGCGAAGCCACGAAACGCGCGAGGAGTGTGCCAGAATGGGGCGGCGGCGCCATGCGGGCTGCGCCACTGGGACCTTAGGTGGAGCTCCGTATGGGACCACGAAACGCATGAGGGGTGTGCCCGAATGGGGCGGCGCCGCCATGCGGGGTGCGCCACTGGGACCCTAGATGGAGCTCCCTATGGGGCCACGAAGCGTGTGAACGGTGTGCCAAAATGGGGCGGCGGCGCCATGCGGGCTGCGCCATTGGGACCTGAAGTGGAGCTCCCTTTGGGCCACGAAACGCGTGAGGGGTGTCAAAAAGGGGCTGCGGCGCCATGCGGGGTGGGCCACTGGGACCTTAGGTAGAGCTCCCTGTGGGGCCACGAAGCGTGTGAGGGGTGTGCAGAAACAGAGACATGCGGGGAGCAAAGGCAAGGAGGGGGAGGAGGAGGATGAGGAGGAGGAGGAGGGGGAGGAGGAGGAGGAGGAGGAGGAGGAGGAGGAGGAGGAGGAGGAAGGAAGGTGGAGGAAAACGCGGGGCACAGTCTCTTCAAAACGAGGACCCAACACCACAGGATGGTTAGGAAAAAGCAGGACGTCGCATGCCTGGGTAAAGGGCAAATAATCCCCACCACCTAAATAACCACCCCGACGCGCGCAGCCGTTTTGTCAGTATACACACCCACAGAAGGAACCGAACAGGGCAGGGCTAATTAGTAAACACTAAAGGCCGCGTAATCAACACACACTATCGGGTCCGAATGGTTTTTCCTGCTTTGATTCGGCCCGCCTCCCCTGGAGGTCCGGCGCCGCGGCCACAGCGAAACGGCCGGCTTGTAGCCGTTGCCGGCCTCCAGGAGGAAGGACCGACTGGTGTCGGGGTTCGGGGTAATCCAAAAGCGACCAAGGACGAAAAAATCAGCCCTGGGGAGATTGTTAAGAAAGGCCTGGTGGCACTCGCATCGAGAACAGCTCGGAGCGCCGGATGTTTCCCGCCCGTCTCATGAACGCAAACGAAACGGTGACCATGGCAAAGGCTGAACGGTGAGCCGTCGGTGTCGATCTTGGTCACCGTCAACTCGTGAATCATCCTCGCGACTCGGCGAAGGCCAGCATGGACCACGACCAAGACCTGCGACGACACGATCCCGCGACATTTTGGTCACGGTCATCGTGTTTCTTTCGGGCGTTGGATTGGGTGTTGTGGGGCCTGGTTTAGTGATGTGTATTGGGGGACACCCCCACGCCCCATTCCACTAAACGGAACTGCAGCCACTCGGAGAAACACCAGCCATGGCAGACCGAGCCTAGCGATTCCAATCCATATTTAGGGCTTCGGGGCCCAATCACTTACCCGGCTCTCCTTAACCAGGGTTTTGGCTATATCCGATTCCTCTCTCGACATCAGCCTTTACTGGATCCCGAACGAGACCGTGTCATGACCGCACCAGCATTGCTACCTGGTTTTGCCAGATGCCTGATCGGACTCCGCTCACAATTCCTCTCTACTTTATCTCCACACCAGCATGACCATACCATGACCCGGTTGGCGCCACGCCAGGGTGTACTGTAGGGCCTTACGAGGATTCCTCCCGGGCTTTAGTAGTTGCAACCGATGGTATTAGGATGGTTTGCTTTGACGACAAGAGTCCCAGGACCTCTTGAAATAATCGGGCACAACTAGGCAGTCCTCGGGGCTTTGTTGGAGCCCCCTTGATTTGTCCTATGGGGGTATTTGGTCAGCTTAGGGCTGCTTGAGGGTCTTATGTGCGGTTACTCATGGAGTTCGGATTACACGTTCCGCATTTTACATATTGCACCGTCGGGGCGCTAGAAGTACATTGTGCACCGTGCAAGGACAAGAGGATTCTGGAAGCCATATTCAAACAAGAAGCAGAACAAGCAACGGTCCCCGAACAAGTGTAAATGTTCCATTCGGTTTGCCTCTGGAGGCTGCTCCGCGAGGGGGCGGGCCGGGCGGGGCCCGGGAGGAAATCCGATGGAACGCAGGGGAGAGGCGGGCGGGCGAAAAGAAGGAGGCCGAAGGTTCTGGCGGTTGCCGTCAAGTCGCCATGTTATCCCGTGCCTTGGATATAGATTGTTGGCATTTGCTGGTTTCTTCCTCGGAGTAGGACGAGGAGGAGGAGGAGGAGGAGGAGGAGGAGGAGGAGGAGGAGGAGGAAAAAGAGGAGGAGGAAGAGGAGGAGGAGGAAGAAGAAGAGGAGGAGGAGGAGGAAGAGGAGGAGGAGAAGGAGGAGGAGGAAATTTGAAAAGGAGGACGAGGCCCTCCTCCTCCTCCGCGGCCGTCTTACGTCATTCCACCCGCCCTTGTGCGCTCGGTGTCCGGCGCGGCCCGTCGGCTCTGCAGTCGCGCCTGCGTCCGCCGGCGCCACGAAGCCAACCAAGTCTCTTCTTCGCCCACCGCGGCCAAGAGCCAGCATCACCCGACAGCCTACAGGGGCTTTTTTTTTTCGCAACAAAAAACACAATTCGTCGAAAATCCCGTCTATATGGGGCACGCGCCCGACATAAGAATATAGAGGCCTCTTAGATCGGGTCGGAATACATGGGGCCGGAAGAACTCGCCGCACCGCCGATGCATCGGCGATGCGCTGGCGACGTCGGCGATGCGTCGGCGACGTCGGCCCCCCCGTCGGTGGAGGGAGTGTCGGCGGCGAACGACGGGAGGGGGAAGTTCCGGCTTCAAGGTTCGAGGTTTTCGGACGTCTTCGTGGGCTTAGTGGGCCCTGGAAACGGCAGGGCCGGTATTTTACCCGTTCTGCCGTTTTTGTTGCCGGTTCCGACGCCGTTGTTTTCCCAGTTCCGTCGCCGTTTTGTGACCGGTTCCGGCTCCGGTTCCAATCCTGGAGCCGTTTTTGTTGCCGTTTCCGGTCGCCGTTTTTTTGCCGTTTCCATGTTCAAGGGACATTTTCAGGAAACGGTGAAAAAACGGCCCTGCCGCTTCGGGGGCCCACGCAGCCCTTGCCCCCCTCGCCAGATGCTCCAGGGGCGTGCCGGAAAGAGCTGACGGTGGCACTCTCGGCGGCGAGCCCGGGTGGGAAATGAGAACGGGCGGGCCTTCCCAGAAGTCTCGGACCTCTCCTGGCCCCCGAGAAGTTTCCTGAGCCTTCCCCGAAGACACGGAACACTTTTTCCAGAAGGCCAGAGGGCTTTTGAGACACCCCGCCGCCTTTGCGAAGGCATTATGCTTCTCGCTTCCCCCCTCGCTCGCCGCCGAATTTGGTTTTCGGTCCGGCGGCTGTTCGGGACGATCCCGGCAGCCCCTGGGACGCTCTCGCCGAGGTGGCGCAGCCGCTGGAACGCGTCCCGAGGTTGGAAGACCGTCGAG